AGCACTGGGTGTTATGCACAAACAATGAATCATGGAACACTACATCAAAAACTAATGATGTAATGTATGGTGATTAACATAACAATAAAAAAATTCATCAGCTCCTTCTCCACCCAGAATTCCTAATTCTCAGTGTGGGAAAATGTTTTCCTATTAAACATTTTCCCCTAAGCCTCATTACCTCTCTGTGGTAGAAAATCATTGTGGTGCTTTGGCTGTCTTTGCAGGAAAGGAAATTAATTTACAAAAGAGGGAAAAATAATTTCTAAATAACAAATTCTTCTGAACTTGGGGTTTTGGCACTTCACAACCAAGTCAGATAGAAGGGGAGGCTAGGACTGCTCCACAAATTAGAGAGAGCAGCTGAAACTGACCCAGAATTAACAAGTGTACAAAATGGAGGCAAGAAGGGGAGCCAGCCGGAAGCCCCGGCCCCAGAAAACCAAGCCATGAAATGCCATTAATGAAGATAATAATTGGGCAGTACTCTCAAGATGTCCAATTAAATATAAACTTTAACAGAAGAAACTGCACTTCCACTGCAGATCAGTGGATGCCAATCATTGTATCAAACAAGTATGCCGAGGGATCATAAACGTCACCGCTCCTTATCCCGCGCCCTATTTAACAGACTGAGAGTAACCGATAGTAATGGGAAATCTTCAGAAATTAAGTCTACATGAAAAGGTAAGTCATAAACACAGGAAATACAAATGACCCTTTTCATCAGCCCTCCTGGCAGGCAAAAAAAAAAAAAAAAAATTCTTTATACCTTTTTATTATAAAAGAAAGAAATTAGCTCACCAAATACAAAGAGTTGGCCCTGGTTACATTTGAGAAAGCCGTCCCCAGATTGACAACATCACTATGCAATGTGGCTCTTTTGTTAAACTCTGTACTCTAACATGAGCAGAAAATAACAAAATCTGGTGATCTTCGTCCCAACACCAGCCTCCCAGCTCCTCCTCACAAGCTTGCTGAACTGTGTTAAACCCCAAAAATGCAGGTCAAGGGAGTAAATTACATGAATGAGTGTTGAAGTCGTGTGAACCCAGACACTTACTAATTGTGTGATCTACAAGAAGTCACTTAGTCCCTCTGAGCCACAGTTCCCCAAGGTGTTGCTGTGAATCTTAAATGAGGTCCTGGATACAAAGTGTCAACCCTGTTGTAGATGCTTGAGAATGTTAGGTTTTTCCCCCTTTCTAGCACATCCTCTGAAACAGGTTTCAAGGATTGGAGTCTACAGATACCAGTATATCAAATGCTCCTACACATGATGGTGGGGGGTACTGAGCCCTCCCCTGGGTGGAGCATGCACATGATGGAGGGGAGAGGACAGCTGACTGCCCTCAGTGACTCACGGCTTCAGACAATGAGCTGCTGGGGGTTGAAGGAGAGAATCCATCACCTTGTCCCTTGGATGGTGCAGAAAGAACTTGCTCACCCAGCAGGAACTGGGACAATGGAAGCTTCTGTGACCTTGCCCCAGTGTCCCATCTCACAGGGACTAGTAGCAGCATCGAGGAGGTGAACCTCGAGCCATGAGCAAGCGACATATGGAGAAGCCATGAGGACTTCTCGGAACCTGCATCTTGGTTGCCAGCCTCTAGCCATGCGAGGCTCGGAAGGCTGCATGCAAGGGCCTCCTTGAGGGATAAAACTGGCAAAATCAGTGGAGGAGGGCCCGGCAGGCCCTCTACCTGCCCTCTGCCTAGAAGGTCTCTGCAGTCAACAAAGGAAGAGCAGGGCCTGGGAACAGGAACTCATTAAGCTGATTGTTCTGCTGAAAGACCGTGGGCAGAAGAAGAGAAGGGTGTTTCCAGGCCTCCAGTTTTGCCTGGGATAAGAAAAAAGAAAGTTTCTAGCCAGCTACTAAAAGGGTGCAGTGGGGCAGAAAGATCTCTATAGGCAGACAGGTGGAGGCTTTGTACCCCCCTGATTCCTTCATTCAGCCCGTCCATTAGTTAATAGCTTTACTAGACATCCTACATCCCAGGCACTTCGCCCCTGTCTGCCAAAGGCACAGCACACACAGTACCAACAACCCATCCCTGAGTCCTCCCTCTCCCACCCCCCCAGCACCCATATGCTGCCGGACGCCCTAGGGAGCTCCTCCAGCTCAACTTCCACAAGAGGGCCTGCTCGCCAGCCTCCAGCCATCGAGGGCCCCCAGGCCCTTCCTAATTCTCAGTGTAACAAGGAAACTGGAATCTGACATGCATAACAGTCTCTTGTGAGCCTGACTAGCTTGAGTCACTTCCAGACACCCTGGCAGAACTGAGTCTCGATTCTGGTCCTCAGAGTAAGGGCCATAGTCCAGACATGGTTACTTAGGATGCATGATGCCTGGTATACTGCACAGCCTTGCTACCAGCCAGACATCTCATCCTTTCTCCCTTCAAAACCTGTTATGCTCATGTTCCATTATACACGTATTTTTTTCTCATTTTAATTTTAACCAAAATAACTTCCTGAATCAGACTGTAAGCTACTGCCTCAAATGGTCTGTGCCTGCCAGACAAATCCTGGGCTCCAGAAGTCCAGAGCAAGGTCCTTACAACCGGGCCCCACTGACCACCTGAGCCTTTATTCGGCTGTGCCAACTCCCTTCCCAAACAATTCCTATTCCAGCAATCTCCTTCTAGCCCAGACCTCCCTAATACTCTTCCCTGGACACTCACGAGCTGCTAATGCTCATTCTTTTCAAAGTTCAGGAGGAGGTTTGCAACTTCCATACGTTACATAAATGTCATGTATTAAAAAAGTATAAAATAGATGCTCCGGATTTCGCTTTTCAAACGGGAGCAGATGGGGATTAAGCGCAGTTTTGACCCCGAGAAACCATCTTAGCCTTGTCTGTGCTCATGCACATGGTCTGATTACCATAAGCTGACCAAACCTTCTCTAGTAACACAGGAACAGCCGCTATGCAGGTCAGCACTCGACAGACTAATTCAGAGAGGTCTACCGAGCTGAACTGAAAACGCCCTTCTCACATTGATGAGGTCAGTGCAGAACAGGGTGGGAACAAGAAGTATCCATTTGAAAAGGGTCCAGGAGGCTATCATCACCACTGGGTTTTTTAGGGCAAGCAACAGAAATTAATTCTAATTAAAGTTGGGGAATTATTGGAAGGAATCTGGGAGCTCACGGAATCACTGGCAAAGGCTGGAAAATGGAGCTGGGATATAAGGCAGCTCCAAGGGGTTGGAGAGCAAACTACAGAAATGGCCTTTGGAGCAGGAACAGTGTGACCAATCTGTCCCCAGCCCCATGCCCCCAGATGAAGGAACCCTAGCGGGTTTTTGGTCCTCCAATTTTCCAAGCCCCACAAAAAGCATGTCATCAGCCAGGTTAGGTCTTAGTGCTCCCTCTGGTTGTCCTAGGCAGCAAGAAGAAATATCGGGGCCTTCTGGCATCTATCATTGGGAAAATCCCCCCCAGACTCTACATAGGGGCAAGTGGCAGCTCTCCAAAAAGAAATCAGAGAGCTGCAGGAAAGAGGAAAGGATGAATACACCCCCCCACCCCCACCCCAGTGAAAATGAAGACAAGAGGGCTCACCTGGTGGAGTCACACCCTGCTTCGGACACCCTGCCTCACAGCCTGTAAGCCTGCTGTGCAGACCACTCTCTCCCCACACCCATCCCGAAGGTCAGCCACACTTGCCCCAGGGAACGCTTCCCCAGAGTTGGAGAGATGAGGGGTTAATGGGAAGGCAGCAAGGGTTGGGATGTGTTGTCTGTCTGATCAGGTGAAACTGCCACTCAGAGGTGGCTTTGCACACTCAGCAGTCACCTGCTACGGCGAGACCAGCTGCAAACAGGGACCTTCCCCCAAATGGAAGATTACAACTTTGGATTAAAATGAAAATGGAACATGAGAGGTCAGGCAATGTGCTAGCTAGTCAGGTTGGTGATGGCAGAACCCAGCAAGTGGACAATGAAGGCAAGCCCCACAGACGTGGGGCCAGCATGCTCAGGACAGCCCTGCAGACACCCCGCCGGTCAGGGGAGCCAGGTCCACTCCCGGATCCCACACGGCTCTTGCATGGACAGGACTGCAGTTTGACTGATACTTCCTTGGGTGACTACGTTTTGGTGATAGTCTCTCACTGAAGCATAATCTCCTCAGTGGCAGAGACCCCATCTGGTCTTCACTCCTACAAATGTCACCACTGCTTAGCATCTGATCTATAGAAGTAGGACCTCAGTAAATATGTGTAGAATTAGGCAATGAATGAATAAATGAATGAACAAACTGAGCCCGACTCGCTTGTTTTCCACAGCCCCATTATCCAGGGATCACTCCTACCTCCATGTGGCCAAAGTTCTATAGAAAATGCCAATTCTCTTCAATTGTGTAGCAGCAACTCTAAACATGGATTGTAGGGTGTGGGATGGAAAGCGTGTGTCTCTGTGGGCAAATCAGTTTCTGTTGGGGGAGGGGGTTGTTACAGACTACCTTCCCTGCCCCACCAGGAGCCTGGTCCACTGAACCTGAGCGCATACAATACGTAACACTGCACCCATTTGCTGCTCCAAGATCCATTGGTGAGCCCTGTGATGGTTAATTTTATGTGTCAGCTTGACTAGGCCATGGGGACCCAGACATTTGGTCAACCGTTATTCTGGGTGTGTCCATGAGGGTGTTTCTGGATGAGATCAGCATTTGAATCTATAGACTGAGTAAAGTCAATTGACCTCCCTAATGTGGGCGGGCCTGGCCCAATCAGTTGAAGACTAAATGGAACTAGAAGGCTGGGTGAGAGGGAATTCCTCCTGCCTGGCTGTTTGAGCTGGGATATCAGTCTTTTCCAGCCTTCTGACTTGAACTGAAACATGAGCTCTTTCTGGGTCTCCAGCCTGTTGGCTTTCAGACTGGAATTTGTACCCTGACTCTCCTTGAATCCCAGGCCTTTGGCCTCAGGCTGGAATTACATCACTGGGTCTCCTAGGTCTCCAGCTTGCTAACTGCAGAGCTTGGGACTTCTCAGATGCCATAATCGTGTAAGCCAATTCCTCACAATAAGTCTCTTTATATATGTACATACATCTTATTAACTCTGTGTTTCTGGAGAACCTGAATACAGCACCCCTCAGTAACACCCCTTGGTGACACTGGACCCTCCCCTGGGAAGCCCTGGGCCTCGTCATAATCTAGCAGATAAAGGGGGAGAGCTGTGGTGCAGCAGGGGGTCTCCAGGACATTGCCCAATGTTCTGCCAACACCAGCTTCGAGGTGCGCAGGTTATAGAGTTGACAAGTATATACACCTGTGCACCCATCACTATAATCATCACCCTGGACAGTTCCCCGCACCCTGCCTAGTGAGCTCCCACCCCACCTCACCCCAGAAACCAG